GCCGATCCCTGGGGTAGACCGGTTCGCCATAGAACACTAGGTTCATCCCGTAGAAAGCTTGCTCCATACGCTTCTTGTAGCAAGGGGTCAAGTCGGGCACAGTGGATAGTGAGAAAATCAATCAAAGCCTCGTACTCGATTGTCCCAAGTGGACGTTTATAATACGGTACGGTACGAAGTAAACGAATCTCTTTCGGTTCATTCATCGGCCCGACTAAGTACTCACGAACTTCCGGTGGATGAAAAACCACCGCATGTGCATACCTCGGAGGTGGCTCTACAGGTCCCGAATCCTGTTGGAGTTTTTCAAAGTATGCAGTACGCTGTGCCTTATTCGGTATGTGCAAGTTGACAGCCCAGAGGAAATTCGCTTTCAGCTGCTCAGTCCACGGTCGGAGTGAGAGGTCGTAATAGCTCTGATTGGTCTTCGGTCCGGAACCATCTACTGCGTACAACTGACCCAAATGTAAACGGAGTGCAGTCAAGACATTGGTATATTCAGCTCTGTTCGGTTCATCAAACGGTCCGAATTCCAACTGCTCCGGAAGGTCAGCTGATCGTTTGCTTTTCGCCTGCGTGACAGTTTCAGGTTCCTCCGTAGATAAACCGAGAGTATGAAGCGTTTGCAAAATGGCCGGTCGTCGAGTTGTTGTCACCGGCTGGGGTGACAAACGATTTGTCGTCTGTTGTCTGGTTGGAACAATGTGCTTGTAAAAGACCAGACTGCAAACAAGCACAAACAGACCTGCAAAAATGACCCTGGCAACCGAGGGCAAATGAAGGGAGAAATGATTTCAATGAATCCCGTTACGTAATACAGTGTGCATATGCATGAAAATGATGAATATGACTCTTATTCTGAAAGGGACGAAACGAGGATCTGGAATTCTTTCGATAAAACCGACCAACCAATCCTGTAAGACTTACGGAAGTTTCCTGTATCTACAGGTACCGATTAAAGAGCTTATGCAGTCCAGATTGCGCAATCTTTCATTTATATACCCAATTTAGTGGGAAAAAACACGTCTGATGCGGGTAAAAGGTGACTGCCTGATTTCATTTTGCGCTATACACACGTGTGCCTGGACTAGAACACCTAACCCAATCCAGTTAAATGAATATATGTTCTCAGCTACCTCAGTGAGACAAAATATCGGTCCAGAGAACCATTGTTCACCATCCGGGTCTTCGTAGCGAATGCAGAAATTAGAGGAGGCCATCGTTTAAGGTCGTTCCCGGAGAGAAGCTGAAGTGATGGGACTGCTCGAGGACTAGATCAAGATAGAAACTCCGGGTCTATCATGTATATTTGAACGTGGAATGTAGAAGCAATTTCTCAAAAACTTGAAGACAAATTTCTTGCGTTTCATGATATAGATGAATATCAAAACCGAGCATCAGTGGTTTGATCTAGGAGTTCAAGAGGACGACATAAGTGCATAGTGAACACCGACTCAGATATGCCATCAGATAGTTCTAAGGTCTCAGAATGTTTAAAACGTTATGAAAATTCCACAGTAAGACACGCAACAACCAGTCGATGAATGTGGTGTGAGTTGTAAATCAGTTTATCGAGTTTAAAGGGAAAGCAGGTATGATAAAATTTGTTGCCGGTCAGAAGCGGGGATGGAGAGGTAGCGTATGGAACACAGAAGAGTTATGTTTTCTCTCATGGTTTACAGCTGAACGCCATAAACTTTGGCTCTTTTTTTGGATGCACGTAACATTTAGCCTTAAGTATATTTTCGTAATCTCCTTTTGAAAAAATTCTATGTTGAAAGATTTTTCACTTCTTCATTTGTTAAGGATACAGATTTACAGTTAACTTCCAGGAAGTGGTGGTCATACAGTGGCTACCTGGGGACCTACAGAAATGTGGGAGATAGAAGGCGTTGGAGCGGTTCGAGCTTCGGTGGTTGTTCACATGACCTTAACCACTTGGCCAACACTGTTCTGTATCTTTGTGGTGCAATGATGTACAGTAATATGGTAACCGTCGAACTAGGTATAGAGTGATTAGAAATACACTGTATTTGTTCTGCATCAATCCCATTTGTAGTCTTTTGTCAGTGAGCTAGACACTTTATTATTACTCTAATGTAATCCTAGTTCTTAGTCACAAAATAAAACAAAACGGTCTCCTGTGATCCGCTTGGAATAGTTGATTAAGCCTTATGCGATACAGCGTGACTGATGACCGCAAGCATGTCAGCGAGGACGTGATTAGGTTCTTGTTTGGTGAAGACAGATCGTCCTTCGCTCAGTTGGACGATGCATTTGAGCTCATATACGCGTGTGTAACACAAGGTGATCGTGTGCAGTTGCTTTCCTTTATATCAATGCAGTTTCGATTACAGTCCTACACTTCAGGCCGGAGTTATTTATGAAGAACAGTTCGAGTGCACGTGTGTATCCCCATTCCAGCGTTGATGTACAAAAACAAGGAGTTTTTCCTGTTGACTCTTCCCTTTGATTGAGTATACGCAACTGTAGTACTCTTTTTGTTCATGCGCATGAAGATTTCAACAGTTCTGAGCGAATCAGTTATTCATTAGCCATATTTTTACTATAAAAGATCTATTTGATTTCTTTCTGTTTATAAACACTAGAGAAAATCTATTTCGGACAAATTCTTTGTCAACCTTCCATATGAGTCTCCAAAAATGGTTGGTTGACCTTGCACGGGAACGAGAACTCACCTCTGCACCCGGGATGATTCTATCAACAATTTTGGAGAGAGAACGTGAAAGCAGCAAATGCAGCCGATTTATACCGGATCGCAAAAATTTAGGAACGTAATCTGCAATCTCTCATGCGTTGACTCTATTTGCTCTCATGGAACTGACCGTTGAACTAACAGAGTACTTCCAACTCAAGGATAAACTGCCTGCTTCTGTTGTCTCTTTTTGTGTGTATTTATTTACCTGTTCATGTGGGGCAAGAACAGATATTTATCCGAGCGAATCCGTGAGCACGATCCGACCTGGCTGAGTAAGGGAGTAATTAAGACCATTAACAGCTCGATGGTTTCACACCTAGTGGAATCAAACCATGTGGTTAATGTGACCGAGGGGTTTCGACCCCTCTACTTAGTTCGCAGCCGTCGATCTAAGAGGATTAGGAGTTTCATTTTGGCCACAACGGAGGCGATCGGAATCCACCTACATAATCCCCCCACTACGCTCCCAAAAACAATTCGTAAGAACTCTCGGTCTTTCATGGCCAAGCCACCACACACGATATAGCCATCCCACCACCCGCCTCTAATGACCAAAACCAATGCACTTGTGTGAGGACCAAAGTGTGAGCAACA